AAATTTCGTCACCTGATGCTTGATAATGGAGCAAAAGCAACACAATGGAGCAAAAATATTCTTTTTAAATAAATGGTGCTGGAATAACACTATTTTTTCATATGAAGTAATGAAGTTAGACACAGACCTTATACCAGTTCCAAAAATTAACTCAAAAAGGATTATATACCTATATATAAAATTCAAATCTTATTATAAACTCCTGGAAGACTTCATAAGGAAAAGCCTAGATGACCTTGGGTATTGTTATGATTTTTAGATATAACACCAAAGGCATGATCCATGAAAGAAATAATTAATGACCTGAACTTTGCAAGAGAATGATCAGAGAAATCATAGAGTGGTAGAAAATATTTGTAAAAGACGTCTGTGATAAATGACTGTTATCCAAATGTGCAAAGAACTCTTAATAAGGAAATGAACAACTTGATTAAAAAATGGAAAAATACCTGAACAGAGTCCTTAGAAGAGAAGATATACAGATGGAAAATTAGCATATGAAAAGATGGTCAACATCATGCATCATTAGTTAATTGCAAATTAAAACAATAATAAGATACCATGATACACCTATTAAAATGACCAAAAGCCAAAACACTCACAGCTCCAAATGCTGGTGAGGATGTGGAGCAACAGGACGACTCATTCATTGCTGGCGGGACTGCAAAATGATTCAACCACTTAGGAAGACACTTTGGCAGTTTCCTACTAAACTAAAAATATTCTCTACTATAAGATTCATCAGCCACTCTCCTTGGCATTTACCCAGATGAATTTAAAACTTCTGTCCACACAAAACCTACACACAGATTTTTATAGTAGTTTTATTCGTGATTACCAAAACTTGGAAATAATTAAGATGTACATGAGTGGATAAATAAGCTGTGTTACATCCAATGGAATATTATACAGTGCTTAAAAGAAATCAAGCCATGAAAAGACATGAAGGAATCTTCAACTCATATTACTGAATGAAAGAAGATATTCAGAAAAGGCTACATACTGTATAGTTCCAACTGTATGAAAATCTCGGAAAGGCAAAACTATGGAGACAGTAGAAAGATCAGTGGATGCCAGGGGTTAGAGGAGAGGGAGGGATGAATAGGCACAAAATAGAGAATTTTCAGGGCAAAGAAATTATTCTGTATAAATACTAAAATTATTCTGTGTCTAGTCATTGAAGATTTGTTGAAACTCACAGAATGTACACCACCAAGAGTGAACTCCACGGTAAACTGTGGGCTTCGGGTGGTGACCATGTGTCAAGGTAGGATAATCTCCATGACGAGTGACGAGTGATGTGCGCAGTGGTAGAGGTTGAGCATGGGTGGGGAAGTGGGTGTGTGGGAACTCTCTGTGTGTTCCTCTCAATTTTGCTGTGAACTTAAACCTGCCGCCCAAAATGAAGTTTATTTATTAAAAAGAATAGAAGAGGCAGGAAGAAAAACTGGGTGTAAGAACTTGAGAAGAGATTTCACTTTACATATAATTCTTTCGATGGGAGTGATGGAATTGGCCACTCACCATAGAGAAAACACAATATGAAGAAAAGGAAAATAGAGAGCAAAGTAAAATCATCTAATATTATTATTGATGCACTGATCACTCCTGGTAATCCACAGACCGAGAATGCGGTATTCATATACATTGACGTGACATGGTGAGTCATAGACTGAAAAGTGTCCATTAACTTGTATGAGTTCATACAATAGATTAAGCTGTGCCTACATGGAGCTCCTGACTAAAGTATTTTGGGCAGAAATGTCTTTTGGCAACCATATAGGAGAGGGTAAAAATATTTTCAAAGTTAAACAAACATTGTGGTGGATCCATCTACATTCTGAAAATACTGCAGCACCAGTAGTCATATTTCCATTGGCTTTGTGTGAATTCTAGAGGCCAGCTGGGAGGAAGGGGGTAGGGAAAATTGCTGGGACAAAATGGCCAGGGCTTTGGAAATGAAACGCAGAAAGGAAGCACAGGATATCCCTGAGCATGTGAGATTACTTTTGTGGTAGTAACTAATTTGGAAGTTGTTCTCTTTCTGCTAAAAGCTGGACTCGTCTGAAAAAAGCACTTCCCATTGCTGTACAATATTCAGAGCAATTGCGGCAAACAATTTCATATAGATTATATTTACGGAATGTCAGCATTCCATGCAAATGAGGTACCTGATAGGATATGAAATGGTTAGAGCTATCAAAATGTAGTTTAATTAAACAATTCATTAAACCCCTCTGTCTGAAGTCTCAGCTTTGAACAAGTAGAGTATCAATTCTCTTACGGGAGAGCAGTCACTGTTACGAACTGGCAGGCAGTGTTGGCCAAGTAAAGGCACACAGGACAGTGGTGTTGCAAAAAGTGATGACAAAGTAGGTAGCTACAGTCTAAAGGGAGAATCTACTGTCTTATCACACTTACCCCTTGTCTTGAACAGCTTGGACTGTCATAACAAAATACCTGGAAGTGGGTGGCTCTACCAACAGGAATTTCCTTCTCAACAGTTCTGGAGATAGGGAAGTCCAAGATCAAGGTGCGGCCAACTTGGTTTCCCGCAAGGGCTCTCACTGGCATACAGATGGCGTCCTCGGGGCTCCATCCTCACATGGTGCAGGGGGGGGGGAGGGAGAGACACAGAGTCCTCATCTTGTAAGGACACTAACCCCACCAGGAGGGCCCTCCTCTCAGTACCTCATCTCAACCTCATTTCCTCCTGAAAGCTCCATGTCTAAATAACATGACAGTGAGGGTGAGGTCTTCAACCTGTGAATTGGGAGGACACATTTAGTCCATAACAATCTTCATCACAACTCTTTGAAATCAGTACTATCACATCTATTTTCAGGAAATTGAGGCTCAATTATATTTAAATATTTATTCAAAGTTTAGTGACTTTGACCATTCCCCGAATCTCACTTGGACACTCAGAGCTGAGCATTTTGTTATTTCCCTAGTGAGGAAGGACTCTATTTAGCCCCACAACTGTTCTGTAATGACAGTTGTACATAGTACATGGGTACATCTCTGCACGGGGATGGTTACATGGCTCTGTTGAGGAGTTTTGCATGAAGACAAGTGACTTTAACTGTAGGAAAACATGACGTGTGTAGACAGGATAGAGGAGTTTGCCCAGAAGAGGGGGACAAGCTGGAGATACCAGTAGAGAGGGGAAGGCTGCTCTGGGGGATTTTGCAACAGAGGCTCATCTGTTTCTCACTGGGCCTCCAGTCACTTGCATTTCCATTCAGATTTTCATTTTCCCTAGTAAGAGATTCCTAATGGCTTTGGCTATTTTACTGGAATATCAAGCAGGTTAATGACATATAAGGGTGATGTCAGTAATATTGATATGGTGGCTGAGGGGACGATTGTTACTTCAATATTAGATGCGTATGTATGTTTATAAGTGTCCACACACATTTACATACATTAGCATGTGCCATAGTTGTATTTGATTATAGGAAACTATAAAGCCTGTATTGCAGTGAATTGGTCTGGTTGTTTTTGGCTTAAAATTTTTTTGTGTCTTTTTATAAATCTTGGATTTATCCCTTTAGATATTGTTAAGAACAAGTGTATGAACAAGAAGGGCTAAAACCATTATTTTTCAGTAACAATTTTTCTGCCCACAGTGAGCAAATCTAGTCCCTAACACCTTAAGTCTGAATTTTGTACTTGAATAAGAACTAGTACTTTTCAGGGATTTTATACTTAACACTCAACTATAAAAAGTGCTAGACATAACCATTAATTTCTTTCACATCTATTCATCAATTTTCCCTCATAAAAGGAGCATAGACACCTAGCCCAAGAGAAAATACAGTGAGCAGTGCTGAAGTTTCTAACTTAATGGGGCTGAATTTTTCAGTAAAAGGCTTTGGGCATATGAACAACCACTAAAATCTTGGCTGTACTTTCACTTTTTAAATATTTTAGAGTTGTATCATAGGCATAAATTTAGCTGCTTCTTCAGGTTTACCACTTAAGTGCTGCTTCTGATCCCTACGAGACAGCTCGTCTCATTTTCTAGAAAGGAAGAATGTAACATGTGGACGTTGTGAGATCAGCTGGGCCATGCACTACCAATGACCACATTGACCAATTGCACCATCTTCTGCTGCTGCTTTGAGCTTTTTGTAGAGCTGATAGGTATCAATGCAAGAGAAAAGAAAAGTCTGTCCATAGAAAATGCTGTAAGTTTTCTCCCAAAAGAAATCATTTGAAGACAACAGTAAACGATTAGAAATGAATTAATGATCATCGCCTTTCTTTGGACTTAGGGAAGGGATGCAGTCCTGGGGAGGGGATCATTTTCTTCATCTGCAAGAGATTTCACTTTGCTCACCTGATCTCTGAGAGAGAAACAGTTGGTCACAAACACCTCTTCACGTTTGCATCTCCTGTGCCGATTATCCAGGCAACCCTGTAAAGAAAGTAAGCAAGAGTCACGACGGCCCAGTTTCTTGCAGAGAAACCTGAAAACACAGAGTCCTGTGCTCCAGAAAAGTTCCCCAGCACGCCAAGGAAACCCGAGAACTCGAAGTCTGCAGGGAGCGTTTTCCTGGACACAGCTCCCGAGTCTTTCTCCTACTCGCAATCCTGGAAAACTAGAAGGTGGCAAGACACCAGTAATAGAGTGGTTACCCTTTGAGATACCATGACCCTTGAGGCCCAGCTTTAATTTTCAGCAAGTGTTTTTTGATGAAAGTTGTTATAGTTTTCTGATAACTTGTAAATTAGTTGCTGGTCAAAAAATAAGTACTACTCAATGCAAACTTTAATTTAATGCAGTTGATTTTGAGAGCTCCATGTGTGGGGGGGATAAGAGAGGAGGTGGGTAACTCCCTTAGCCAAATTTTATAGTTGCCATATGTGGGTGTTTCCAGAATCTTAAAAGGCAGTGAAAGCACCCCATCTGCAAACTGTGTTGTAAGTAGGTGAAAACTTACATCATCTATGAAAAGAAATGGACAAAACAATCCATATTCTTTCTATCTCAGTTGCAATTGCTAAATATCCAGAAGCCGAGGAACTTCCCACCTGTTGCGCTCTTGCCAAGAGTGCTGGCCCTGGATCACGTGTTGCCTCGCAGACAGCGTCCCCAGTGGGAGGGCGCACTGGAGTGGGAGCAGACGGTGCGTCCACTATGTCCAGTCTTTCGTTCTTCCAGATGCATGTGACTCATGAGCCAAGTTCCAGGTATAAAAATAGTGTCTTTACGATAAACTTTTATAGAATCTGGCTTTTCACCTGGCAAGGGGTGGGATGAAAACATTTCCATTCTCAGAAAGGCATGTCCATGGAAATGGACTCTATCTATTGGTTCCCTATATGATGGCTTGAAGAACAAAAGGGTATTTCTGAAGCCACTGCAACATAGTCACTCTAGCGCAGAGAAGTCATGTAAATTAAAGAAAAACAAACGTGGATGTTATACAGACACCAATAGTATGAAGTAGCTGTTAAAAGTTCAAACTTGGGCAGGTAACAAAGGCTGGACTGCCACCCACTAGTAGCTGTGCAACCTTAGGCAATTAGTTTACTCTCTGAATCTTAGCTTTCCTCTATGTATAGATGATTGTATTATATAGGTGTTTTTGTGAAGATGAACTAAATAAAACAGCACTATGTTGAGCATATAATAATGTTAGCGATAATTATGGTTGTTGCTACCAACATGACCACATTAAAATTAGAGGATTGAGTTTAATGGCCCACTATATTGGTCATTTTATTTTTTATACCCAAACACATGTAGTCTTTGTGTGTATTGTACAACAATGACATTTTCCACTTTCTAAGTGATTTGTCTAGCCACAATTACTGTTTATTCAGCCACAATCAGCTGTTGGACAACACAAGCTTGAACTGCATGGGTCCACTTATAAGCGGATTTTCTTCTTTCTCTGCCACCCCTGAGACAGCAAGACGTTGGTGTCCTCCACCTTCTCCCCCTCCTCCTCCTCCTCAGTGTGCTCAATGTGGAGACAGAGGATGAAGATCTTTATGGCAATCCACTTCATGAATAGTAAATATATTTTCTCTTTCTTGTTGTTTTCTTAATAACATTTTCCTGTCTCTAGCTTACCTTATTATAAGAATACAGTATATAATACATATAATGTACAAAATATGGGTTACTCTACTGTATATGTTATCAGTAATGCTTCTGATGAACAGTAGGCTTTTAATAGTTAAGTTTTTGTGAGGTCAAAAGTTATATGCAAATTTTCAGCCACATGGTGGTCAGCTCCTCTACCCCCCCCACACACACATTATTCAATATACCGTACTGTATAAATTCTGGTCTGGTTTCAATTGAGCATATAATTGGAATGTTTTATGAATTAGCTTATGATGCTATTGCTTTTTGCTTTTAATAGCATGGATCATTATTTGGAGAACACAAAATCTACATGAAACAATGGACTATTACTTCATACTACTGTTTAATTTAAAATTCTTTAGTTATATGTTATATACCATGTTGGCCTTTTGTGAAACCTTAGCTCATTGATTAAGAGTTCTTGTGAAATAAAGAAAGCAAATTGCCATCTCTGTGGGACAGTACAAGTGGTGGTGGTGGTGAATGTACTTGGCCACAAAATAAGAACTGGAAATAGAATGTGAGAGTCCTTAAGGTCCAGACTAGGTTGAGTTTCCCATGCAATAGATCAGTGATCACCCAGTATCTCTTTCTGCTTTCTCAGTATTATAAATTTGGTGTTAGCAACTTTTGTACAACATTCAGCTTCTCTTTCTCAGATATTTCCACTAACTTGCATGAATTAGAGGTTTGGGTCCTCTCCAAAGTTCTATGGCTGTTACTCTATTGAGGCATTGGTCCTTGAACCATTCCTAACCTTTGGCCTTAAAAATTACCAAAAGCTGAGAGATGGAAGTTGGAAAAGATTGGCAAGAAGAGACATGAATTGACAAGGAAATATTGGAAGAAAGATATGAGAGTCAGAATGACGGAAAGGATGAATGCAGATGTCAGGCACTGAATTGTAATATGATTCAAAATTCAAAAGCTGCAGAAAAGCAAAGTAAAAATTCTGTATTCTATCTCTGTCTAACCACATATATTTCCCCCCAGAAGAAAACAACGTGATTAATGTCTTATATACTTACCTTATTTACAAATGGCACCATGCTATGTACTCTGCACCTTGATTTTTTCATTTAAAATATGTCACTTGGAGATTATTACATATTAATACATACAATTCTCCTGTTTCTCTTTACAGCAGTAATAATATCTACTTAACCAGTCTCTGCTTATTAGTATTCAGCCTTTTTCATTACCCTTTTGTGATTACCAACGATGCTCCAGTGAACAACCTTGAACACGTCTCTTTGCACACACGTGAGTATGCATTACTCAGCCTTCCATTGAAACAGACACTGTGCCGATGCAGGGATTTAACAGCCAGTTTTGTGCTCACAAATAATCAGAGGGTCCTTGGCCCACCTGGAACAATGAGCCCTTCAGAGGGGCCCCCAGGATACTTCAGAATTGACAGGCCATGGGAACTCTTCTGCATCTTTGTGGCTACCCCTGCAATATTACGTTCAAAACCATAACCCATACCTGTAATTCAGGGAGCAGAAAGTGAAAGTCAAGAAAAAATTGCTTCCTTTGAAACCACTCTTTCATACCTAAGGTCCTGGGGGTGGATGGGGGAATGCTGCCACCGAAAAACCGCACAGCTTTCTGACCTCGTTTGCCATCAGAAAACAGTCAAAAGAGATGAAAAAATGGTTCATTCATTCACATTTATGCCTTCTGGATCTTACTTGACTACATATAACTGATGGAACTAATTTGCTTTTAGAGCCCTAATTGCATAGGAGTCTGGGAAATATTGATTTAGGTTTTGTAGACTCTGCAGCGATACAAGATAAGAAAGCATTCTAGAAAAGGCTGGAATCAGAAGTAAGTCAGTCTAACAGGGAATATAGCAATTATTTTAATTGATGACATTTTTCTAAAGAATTAAGAAAACCTCTCATGGAAACACTGAAGGTAAAAGTTTCACTAATACCACTAATTGAAATAATGGTTTTTATGGACAGGTAATATTTGCCCATATCAGATGGGGCAACACCTCCCCTATCCTGCAAACATATTTATTCCCTGTAGTCAAAGAAGATGGCATCAAAGACGCAGAGTGAGTTAACTCTAGAGCAAACAGGCAGAAGAGCTCACACACACAGAGCTCAAACCATAGTGGTTCACTTGGGAAAGTAAGATTGGAATGGGATTCATGAATAATATCAAGTCCACATGCTACAAGTGGAGGGAAAGGGAGAAAGCAACACCGAAAGGCTGCTTGATATTAACAGAATATTTGGTTGTTGCAAGTAACAATGATAAAGAAGATTTTTCTTGCAAAGCTATTGAATCTCTGTAATGGGCAGAAGCTAAGATGCCCTGTAAGTGACAGGGCATTATCAGCAACTGTTTGGTTCTGCCACATGCAGAAGACTGGAAGAGGATCCGCACCTCTCACCTCTCACAAAAATCAACTCACGGTGGATAACAGGCTTCATCCTAAGGCGTGAAACGATAAGAATTCTAGAAGAAAATGTTGGAAAAACTCTTATAGACTTTGGCCTAGACAAAGAATTTATGAAGAAGATGCCAAAGGCAATCACGGAAACAACAAAAATAAATAAATGGGACCTGATCAAATTAAAAAGCTTCTGCACAGCCAAGGAAACTATTAGAGTGAACAGACAACCTACAGAATGGAAGAAAATATTTGTGTGCTACACATCCGATAGAGGGCTGATAACTAGAATCTATATAGAACTTAGGAAAATCAACAAGAAAAAATCAAACAAGCCTATTAAAAAGTGGGCAAAGGACATGAACAGAACTTTTCAAAAGAAGACAGACTAATGGCCAACAAACATATGAAATATTGCTCAACATCTCTAATCATCAGGGAAATGAAAATCAAAACCACAATGAGACATCACTTCACTCCAGTGAGAATGGCTTTTATCAAAAAGTCCCAAAACAACAAATGTCACAGATGGAGAGAGTTAGGAACACTCACACACTGCTGGTGGGACTGCAAATTAGTACAACCTGTATGAAAAGAAATACCTCGAAGAACTAAAAGTAAACTACCATTTGATCCAGCAATCCAATTACTGGGTATCTACCCAAAGGAAAAAAGACATTCTATAAAAAAGACATCTGCACTAGAATGTTTATAGCAACACAATTTGCAATTGCAAAGATGTGGAAACCACCCAAGTGCCCATTAATCCATGAGTGGATTAATAAAATGTGGTATATGTATACCATGGAGTTCTACTCATCCATAAAAACAATGGTGATCTAATACTTCTTTTATTATCCTGGATGGAGCTGGAGCCCATTCTAAGTGAAGTATCACAAGAATGGAAAAACGAGCACCACATGTACTCATCATCAAATTGGTACTGATCGATCCACACTTATGCGCACATATGAAAGTAACATTGATTGGATGTCAGGCAGGAGGGTAAATTCACACCTAATGGGCGTGGTGCACACTGGGGGATGGGCACACCCATAGCTCTGACACAGGTAGTGCAAAGGCAATATATGTAACCAAAGTATTTGAACCCCCATAATACACTGAAATTAAAAAATAAATTTAAAAAATCAGGTTGCCCTTTGCTCAGAATTCTGCAACGCCTTCTCATTTTGCTTGCAGAAAAAGCTAAAGTCTAGACCTCTGCCTGAAGGGCCTCGGAGCCCCTGTGGGACCTGCTTCTCCCCAGCACTGGCTTTCCCTCCTTGGCTCCCCCCACCAGCACATTGTCGGCGCTTCACCATTGCTTCCGTGGCCAGACACGATGCAATCCCCTGCCCTGGCACTGGCTTTTCTCCTGCCAGAAATGTTCATGTTACCGTCTCATCTCCATTAAGCCTTTGTCAAAGGTGAGCTTAAAAAATTCCTAACCTGGCCACTTTATTAAAAGTGCAACTCACCCTACCACATTTCTTCCCTTATCACCTTCCCCCTTTTCCCTTATGACAATTATCAGCTTCTAAATTGCTATATAATATTCTTATTTGTCATTTTTAATAATTTGTCACATTTCTCCTCCTGCTAGAGAGGTACCATTGTGGTTCCGTTCATTGACGCAGTCCAAACACTCAGAACTATGCCCGGCATAAATGGGCAAATTAATAAATAAATGAATGTTTTATTAGAGAGACAGCCTCTGCACACCGAGAGCAGGTTTGCCAGGTACTCCAGTAGTTCACATGAGGCTGTATAGAACATCATTTGAGTAAATAGGAAATCAGCCAGTGGGTTCCTCTAGCTACTTCCCCCCACCTCCATCCCATAATACCAGTGCTTGTTTTTCAGAGTCCACCAGGGAGGAGTGCAATAAAATGCGAGAGATGTGAAGTCCAACACTCTCCAAAGCTTAACTCTGCCAGCCACTGACCGAAGGGTCTGGGGGAAACTAGCTGTTCTGCACATCAGATTCCTCAGCTGTGGAGTCAAGACTCTATTAACTGGGTCTTCCTCCTAAAGTGGTTGTAAAAATCAAAAGAGATAATGCAGGTAAAATGCAGAGCACTCAAATTTCTTATAGGCAAATAAAGCACTTAAAGACAATGCATTTAGGATGTTATATATTTCTCTATAATTTTATTTATGATTTTAACTTGCTTGGTAGAATTCCCTTCATATAAGTGGCACAAAGACAAACTTTATCCAACCTCAGATCTGAATTATCAAGAACTCTGGAATACCAGTGAATTATTTTATTGTACCATGAATTCTCAAAAGTCAAATACATATTCAACAAAACATAACATGATCAAATATAAATGAATTTGGGTTATCTATTTAGGTTTATCATACTACTGATTATTAAGATACGACTCATACTTCTAACTCAATGGTTTTTTTTAAAAAAATTATTACAAATAGAAAATTAGCTTTTCATGGTTTCACCTTTCAAACTAGAATTTATTATTTGGCATTTCTATTTTTAACAATGTGTTTCTCTTAGGACATTTGGACTATACCAGTTTAATTTTTAAAATTTGATATTTCCAACTTGCTTAAATTTGTCAGTTACACATCTGAATTAATTAAACAGTTGTACTAGATTTTAATCACCTTCAGAATGAAATTTACATAATTGATTAGTAGCTGTTGATATTATAGTTATTTCTTCAAGATCACCCTTTCATTAAATGTAGAGTTTTAAACCAATTGGAAATTATCCTTTTTGTTATATAAATCTGGCTTTCAATTTTTGAAACCATTACCTTAATGTTCAATGCTGTTCCCATTTTGAAAACTCATTTTGTGTGTGGGCATTTGAAATGATCAGAGATATTACCAAGAACATGACCAATAAGCCATAAAGCTGCTCAACTCATTACTAGAACAATTTATTTGTTACTTGGAAAGTTACATTTCAGATTACTTTGGAAGAGAGCGTGAGTATATATGCAGCAATTCTCTGAGTATAAGGATTTATTTTCTTATACATTATTTATTTAGAGTTTGCACTCTATCTGTGAATCTAAGGCCACTATGTTTAAAAATGTATAACCAGAATCTGAGCTTTCAGTGGAATCAGAAATAAGCTAGAGAAATGTGCACAGAGCTAAGTGTTCATTTCATTCTCCCAACCTGCCCAGGATAGCTGCCCACCTCAGAGAAAGACATTCCAATCTACGGCAGCTTCACCAGCGTGTGGAACAGCAAGGAAAAACACCCAAGAAGAGCCTTGAATCAGATACACAAAGTCTGTCTTCCAAGACTGAATGAATAAAACCCAAACCAACAACTTAACAAATTATGCCTAACCAGGGTTATTTCAACCTGAATTTGCACCGTTCATCATTCTGCAGTATCTGTAGTGGATTTTGAATCAGTTACAGGAGATTGTAGCCAAACTCTTCTGTATAAGACATCTACTTAAACTTGTTAAACACAGGCAAAACAGGCACATGGCAGAGTGGCACTCCATGACCTGCTGGCTAGAAAGGCAGTGCCCGTCTCTTAACCTGTGGAGGGCTTCATGCAGTGACTGAAACAGATTCGGGGATACTTCACAGGACATTCACCGTTCACCTCTCCCGATAAATGGCATAATGGAGCAGCCTATTTTTCTTTGGTTTTCAGTGGGATTAAAAGCTCTCCCTGAATGTTTCAAAACCTAGTAAGACAGCGCTGTGGAGCAGCTTGTAAGACATGTAGGAACGCAGCAAAGCTTAGTTAGTTGTCTTTTGTAAACACTTTAAAGATCTTTGGGTCAAAGGAGTAATCTGTGCAGAACATTTCTGATGCTAAAACAGAGCATGTGTTCATAGCAGGGTGTTCTTTATTTTTATTTTAGGTCATAACTGCTCTTTGCAGTGAATGAGAGAAAAGCAAAAGATGACCGTAGAGATGTGAGGTGTTTCCTTCCTGGAAAGCTACTGCTGAGGACGGGAGCAGTTTCTAGAAATGAGTGAGACAAGGTAGGAGCAGCAGGCCCTTCAATAATGTAAGCCCTAAACTCATTACAATTGTCATTATTAACTGTAAACTCACAGGGCCCGCGTACATAGGATATAGTGTGTAGATCACGAGTGAAAACGTGTTCGAAATTTGGAAGTTAAAATGTCCAATGCATGCATGACCCTCCACAGAAATGGGCATAAAAGAGTTTTGTCTCTGGGGCAGTTTCGCAGTGCTCTCTAGGAAGTGGCAATGTCTTTGTCTCCTAATATAAGAACTGTTTTCAGCCTTTAGCTCAATCAGTGAGTTTTCTTCCTGACAAAATTGGTGGAATATGATCTATTGCCTCACAGGAACACTGAATAATACAGCAGAAAAGACAGAGGAAATGTCTTCTCAGTTCATAAGCGGAGAGAGAAACAAAAGCACAGCCCCATGGCAGAAAGGAAGGGAAAAAGCCTTTCCTAGCGATAGGTTGAATATTTGATTGGAAGAAGGAGCAGAACATAAGGGCTAAGAATTATGTGCCAATTGAGAAGAAAATAACAACAACAGTCATTAAAGAAAAAGAATGGTGAATTTTAGGAGCAGTTAGATTTGCTTTTTTGTGCTTTCCTTCCAAATTGTGGATTTAAGTAGGAACTCTAAGCTTCCATTTCTCATGTATAAGTTGGAAATAATAAGAAGATAATAAACTAACTCACGCGGTTGCTGTGGGAGTTGAGTACTTGACGTACTTAGGAAGTTCTGGGCGCACGAGCTCTCCAGAGTCGCTGCTGCTGCCATCTGCCCTGCCACACTGCGGGTGACGGCTGTGGGGGGCAAATCCAGTCTGGGCAAGTGCGCACGCAGTGCCCAGAACCAAGGACTTCACATGGGGAAGCCACTTGTGAGTGCCGATCTGTAAGGGAGCAGAGCTGTGTGGTGAGCCAGAATGTCGTCAGATTTAGGAAGGAAAACAACTTGGACCGAGGGACAGGATTAAAGGCTGTCAAAAGTTTCCTCAAAATTAATATAAGATTTGTCCTCATTTTGGTGTCTATATTTATGACAAAATTAACTGCAGAGTGACCTACAGATGTTATTATTTTGAAGTGTGTGTTAATTTCAGTCCTGACTTTTAATCTGTTTTAAGTTAATAAATCTCTCCTGGTTTGGAAGATCAGATCTTGCTTCAGTCTAGACTTCGGTGCCCAGAGGAAAGAAGAGCTAAAAGTAATATTCCCTTATTGGACTTTTGCTGTAGCAACCCTCTATTCTACCTGTGTTAGTGTAGCACACACACATTTAAATGTATCGGTCTTAACACGCTATTAGTATGTTCTTACCTATGGCTAGATGTTATTGCACTCTTTTTATGAGCTTTCATTCAATATCATGGGTCTTCAAGGAAACAACAACAACAAAATAACTTCTCTCTCTGTTCAGCTCTCATCTTTCTCACCAGAGGGATTGGAAAAAGATGTGTTGGATTTCTCTCTGATCACACACTTTTTGGCTACAGAGGCCCTTTTAAGGGAGGCAATGTTCTTGGATCAGTCAGGTTTGGTGGGAAAGAGGAAATCACTTCAGGTATATTTAGTGGAAAGAAAATTAACATGAAAATCTGAAGCTTAGACAACTATTGGATGAGCTGCAAAGGCAAAGGTCAGAAAAGCTTCTTGCAGGAAATCTGGAAGTATGTTTCGTGGAAGCCACCAACAGTGATTTTAGTAGCCGGCAGAGTTGAAATCGGAGCCCAGGCGAATGTCGATGACAGGAGTGAGCCAGACCTCATTCCTTTCCTCTCCATTCTTGTCTTTGCCGCCCTTCCCTGTCCTGCCCCAGGGCTGTCTGCATGGGCCACGTTGGTGCCCACCTTGTACTCCAGCCTCCCACTGAGGTCAGCCAGCGGGGAGCACCGGCAGGCGTCAGAGGTGAGGAGAGTGCGGTCAGGGCCATCATCCCCTCCCTCCCTTCCCCACGTCCGGGTTACTTCAGGAAGGCTGTGTCCCTTGACTGCAGGTGCCTTCCAGTTAGCCTCCTCTCCCACATCCTCCCTCCAGGTTTGGTAACTGCTCCTTCCTCTCTTTTCAGGCCAAGAGATGATACAAGGTCTTACTAACACCTCCATTCTGTGCTATCCCTTAAAGTTCCACTACATTTAGCAACATCTTTGAAAATGTTCCTTCAGTCAACAAACACCCCTTGAGTTATTTTAACACGAGCATGCCAACTCTTTCCTGTTGGGAACCTGACTGATAAGATAATTTGTTCCATAAGCATCCCCAGGAAATGCCCCAGGTAACCTCTCTGCCAGATGGAAGGGACATGTGTGATTCATGGCATGTGTTAGAATCCCCTTCTCGCCTTATCATGCTTGATATCATAAGGTACGGTACAGGTGAGGGGCAAGATGTGGATGTCCTGGCTGGTGAATTGAGTTATTTTGTAAATAATAGAGATTATAAAGACTGTGAAATTACCTGGTTTTTGATTTGGGAAGCAAAGAGCACGAACAGAAATTAAGAGACACAAACATATAATTAAGAACATGTGGGCAATTGGACGGCTCCAGACAGCTTTGAAGGATTCCCTCCCCTCCTGAGGTTTCAGATCTGGAGGTGCAAAAGTAAAGACTGCAGAGTTGCAGCCCCAATTGAATGTTCTGAAGTCCTGCTAGATCTTTCATTCTAAAGCAGGGTCATTGATGGAAAGAAGTAGGACCTTGAGATTTTGGTTGGGGACATTTGGGAAACAGTGGACTGAGGTTGCATCTTCCCATTACCTTGAAGCCCTCATTGATTACATAGCGGCACAGCCCTAAGAAGTGAGAGGCCTGCTTTGCAAGGAGAGAGCTGTAAATCAAGCCACAAGACTGCAACAGTATGTATTGTCAGGCCATTGGGCAACTGAGTAGGAATGAATTTGAAGGATAATAAACCAAGGGTGGTGAAATGTGCTCAGTTGGGTCAAAATAATCATAAATATGGGCAAATACATGAAGGATTTGGGATTTAATATTTTGTTTAAGCATCAGAGAATCATATAAATATTCTGATAGTTTGAGTCATTGAAGCCTGGACTGAAAGGTAAGTTTACAGTTAATAAGATAAGGTGCTAGAACTTTCCTGATACCATAGGGGACAGAGTCTGAACACTCAGCCATATGGGATGCTAGATGGATATATAATATGAAATCTATCCAGCATCCCCCAATCATAAAATTCAAAGACATTTGGGATTATTAGATACCATTTATGAATTTATACTGATTTCTGAGAATCTGAAACATTGCCATGATTTTCTGGTCCGAATAAGGGCTGATGATTGTCGGGTGACAGTGAAGTCTTGGCCCAAGTCCAGGTAAAGTGAGTCCAGAAATTAATGTGTCTCTCTAGTCCCAGGATGTGGGTGAGCACAGACAGACCTCAGAGCTAACAGAACCGCTGGTCTATGGGATGGGGCTAAATGAAAGGAAGGACTAAGCATAAATCCTGAAACTGATTCTTCTAGCAAAGAAAATAAACCAAGAACATAACCTTACCCTTTGTGGAATTGCAGAGATTGATGCCACCATCAAATATTTGACAGAAATAGTGGTGGTGGTTCCTACTATGTCCTTATTTAAACTTAACCCATTTGGCTAGTACCGAAGCCAGATGGGCTGTGGAAAATGACAGCTAATTATCTCAAACTTATTCAGTGATGATGCCAATTGCAGCTGCGGTTCCAGATGTGCTATTTTTACTAGAGCAAATAAACACAGCTTCTTGCAGCCATTGATCTGCAATCCTTTCTTTTTCATTTCAATCAGTAAGGAAAATTAGAAGCAATTTGCATTTCATGGCAGGGACAAGAGTATATCCTTACTATGTTGACCTCCTAATTTATGTTGGACTATGTTGACCGTCCTACCCTCTAACATAATACCACCTGGAGAGACCTTGATTGTCTTTATGTTCCACAGAATGCCACAATGTGGAACAGAGGCTTGTCACACTTCAAAGTCCCTAGGAGTTCATGGTTTGGGACCTGTTTAGCTATCCCATCTAAAGAGAATAACAAGTTGTACTTGGATTCCCACCATGAAAAGAAAAGGCTTGGTGAGCTTCTGTAGACCTTAGAGGAGTTGCGCAGCTCAGCAATATGTTCTTCAGCTGACCGAGGCTGACATGCTGCGTATACTTCTGCGTGGCCCATCTGCCAAGAGCAGAGGCCGGTGCTGAGCCTCTAATGGCATTAGTCCCCAGGGACCAGCCGGCCACATGGTGGCTGTTTGATTACATCAGACCACTCATCTAATGGTGACGCTTTGTGCTTACATGAGTAGATTAACATTCTGGGATGGGTTTGCCTTCTCTATTTTGAGCCATACTGGCAGCAACACCATTTGAGTACTCATAGAAAGCCTTATCTATCACCATTACCTTCAACTAGATGATAGCTTTTGAGTCAAAGAAACTTTGTTGATAAGCTTAACCCTCAGAGTCCCCCCATGCCACGTTGTTCAGAAGCAGTTGGCTTGGAAGTATAAGAAAATGATCTTCTACAGGCTCAGCGACATAGCTCACTAGTGCACAACTGCCTTGGAGACTGGGCTTTTGTCCTACACAATGAAACACACGCACACACACATAACACACGTGTATTTTTTCCTCCTTTGTTCTCTTAATAATTATTCCCATAATCATATTAGCTACTTTTGTATTAAGAAGAAGTTACATATTCTTTAAGGAAGTAGACGTTATCTCTATTTGATAAATAAGAAAACTGAAAAGGCATTTAGCAAAGTTGCTTTGCCAAAGTCACATAAGAAGGAAGGGCAGATTGATGATTTGAATTTGTGAATATCCACTCGTAGCCAATGGTATGTGCTTTGTCAAAGCCAAAGAGACTCCGTCACCCGAAACTGTTCTGCTTATTTTAAACTTCTGCATTCTATTGTATCATCCACCATAGAGTATGATAGATTAAATATGGTCACAAACTCTTTGTTCCTCCCATCAGTAGGACTGTATTTCTGTACAGGTCTTGAATCTGAACTGGCCTGTATCTTTCTTGGCCAATATAATGTGGTAGAACTGAAGATGTAGGAGTTGTAGAGCCTAGGCCTCAAAGGGCCTTGCAGCTTCAGGCTTCACTTTCTTGAAATACTCCCACCACTGCGTAGGGAAATCCGGAATAGCCTACTGAATGATGAGAGAGCACATGACAAGAGCAGCCCGGCTGGCAGCCAGCACTAATCTCTCAGACCCTGCAACCCCGGGCAAGCTAGCAGCACACTGAAATCACATGAAAGTACAACAGAAAACCTCCTGGACAATCTGAGAATCATGTCATCTTAAGGCACTAGCCTTGATGTAAATTTTTAAATGCATGAATAGTTACCTGATATGAAAACTGGGACCTAGAGGTAGGTTCTAGCTATGACACAGACCTGAAAATGTGGCACTGGCTTTAAGACCAGGTGGTGGGTCACTGATGGAGAGTGAACCACAAGACCATTGGAGGAGGCTGGAAGAACAGCGGGGAAATTGCTATAATTCCCTTCTGATTAGTATAGCTGCTGCCTGTGGTGGCT